ATTGCCCTTCTCAATCTCTAATAAAACAGTGACAAGGACCCTCCCTGAGCCTCTCTTTCTTAGTTGCAAAGTAAGGGTAATATTCTTAATATACAGGTTTTTTGCAGAAGTGTCATTTGGCAATACCTGTGAGGGAGCTGAGGCCATTTAAAATCTGCCCAATCCCTCTTCCAACCCACTTAAAAGTGGCTGGAAATATCCTTCCTGAACTCTCTTTTATGTGAGTATGTACACAAACTCTCTCATCTTCTCCCCAAGTTGACATTTAGAAATACGAGTAACACCAACAATCCACCCAGCCCAACCAGAAATGCCAGGAAGGAGAGCAGTCAATAGGACAGTTGGGCTTCTTCTCTCCGCCCACAGGGACAACTTACACCTGTGGGTTCTTCAGTGTCCTTTCCCTCCAGACCCTGTTTCCTACCTCCATCATGTCAACCACCCCTACACCTGCGAAACCAGACATCCTGTGACCATTCTGCAACCCCAAGAAACCACTCAGAAATTTCCAACAGTGTTCCACATCTCTAATTAAATTTACTTATTCATTTTTGCACTAGGTTTAAGAAAAGGAAACAGACACAAGTCACCATGCAGTGCCCAGATACAATCCCCCAAACCTGTGCTCTGTGGATCCAGACACTCCCAGAGACCTAGCCCTCCGGGGGTCATCCAGTGAAGCATCAGACAGACTACATACCTCAAGCTTTATGACCACACCCCACTCAATCCAAAACAAACACAGCGTATCCCACAGTTAGATGGACAACATTGGATACACAGAAGTTACCAGGCTTAAAAAAAGATGACACCCCTAACAGAACCCCTGAGGTCTTTAGTCCCAGATAATTAGGGACTGGGCTCAGATGCCACAGAAAGGTAGGGGTTCAGTGGACACAGCGAAGCTCAAAGGAGTTTTCCTAGAACTGTGCCAGAGGTGAACTGTGGGCTCACCACCTCCACACCTCCACACCTCACAGGTAAACCCAAGAGACAGTTCCAAATCCTGATGAAATCTAATTCAGGAAGACTCAGTAGACAGCCCTCTACCATGAGATGCATTATAGTAAACAATGATGATGTCGATTTTGATAAAACACATAGCACACATATTATGAC